CAATATGAAACAGTTGCAATTAAACTGCATATAAAACAAAAATGATAAGGCCAAAGTAATCAAGCTTAGTCAAGTGTTTAAACAGCATATTCCGTTAAGAACGTCGATGCAGTCCTCAACGTTGGCGAGTCCAATGAAGCAGCAACTGATTTTTAAAATCACATTAATCAAACCAGATTAGCAGGGAAAATGAAGTAGATAAGTAGGAACTTTCTCTTTTTTTTTTTGTCACTGTCGAAATTAGGAATGGGAATGAATCTTTCTCTGTTAAGTAGGAACTTTCTCTTCTCTGTCGAAATTATCACCTATGAATCTTTTCTATTTATGTTTCTCAATCTCTAAACCAATATCTCAAAAGCTTGCTTTTTCTCTGTTAAGGAGAAATGATGGTTTGTCTACACCATCTCCCATCCCATGTCGCTGCTCCATCCATTCCCATGGTCAGAAACACCCTGAAACTGTCAGAATAAAAAAAAACTCAAAGTAAGTGAAACTAAATGAAGGAAGAAGGGATAGGAATCAAAGTGAATCAGAGATTTTTTATGGATACTTATTTTATAACACACACACAAAAGGTAATCTTAGTACTTTTGAATCAGAGATTTTTTACCATGAAATCATCAGAGACAACATCAATTAGATCTTTGCCTCAGTGTCTTTGTATTTTCCTTGGTTATCCTTGGCTCTCATTCTCCTTGAAATGCTTATAATCACTTTCTCTTATTTTCCCAATCCAGATAAAAAATACACAAACAATTCTAATCTACAATATATTAAATCGAGAAAACAATATTTGTGACGATAATTTCCATATATATATATATATATGGACATGTTTTACAGCGGAGTCAGATGGAAGGAAACATGAAAGTAAAGAGAGAGGACACATACATGTTCATCGATGAGGGTAGGCGGGTCTTAGCTTTTTTAGTTAAAAGTTAAGAGACGGTTTCTTATATTATTCTAAGAACCCCACTCTAAGAACTTCCCATTAAATATGCTCTAAATTACCAGAAATTTTCAACAAATCTCGGACAGCGATTTCCAACTTTTACGATATTTTCCATCTAATTTTATGATGATATCATTCAATTATTAATAAACATTTAACAAAAACAGCACTCAAATAATTCAAAACAAAATTGAAAATTAAATTTTAAAAATAAATAGTTTTAGAACTAATATATGAACTAAAAGTAAAATAAAATATTGCTATTACTAAAATAACAAGATGTATTAAAGTAAAAATATTAGTGAAAATGGCAAAAGAAAATATATATAGTTATTCGGCCTATTGTTCAATTATGCGATAAGAAAATTATATTAGGTAGAGATACCGAGTTTCATTTAGTTACATATAGATAAGTATCTCATGGCATTTTCTTTCACAATAATAATAAAAGTAAAAAAAAAAAAAGCTAAACAAAGATGAACTCATGGCTTCCATCGTCTGTTGTGATGAATTGCATGATATTATGCCTACTTAGAGACAATTTATGTGCCGGCCAGTTCAGTGACCTGAATCAATCTTTTCTGGCGACTTTGATCTTCCCAGCAGCATCCATTTGAATTTTTTCACCACCATTGAAGCTGAAGAAATCTTTGAATAAACCTTTAAATTCTCTACTTCTCTGAGCTCCGGCGTTGAATCCTTCTTTATCTTCTAGTAGTTTTCTTCCATGATCTTTACCATTGAGGTAAGGCATATATTTAGAAAATTTCTCATACAAATTGTTGATTTTTCCACCGGTTAGTTCTTCGGTTAACTCTCTTCCGTGTTGCTTACCTTCTAGGAAAGAACCAAAGAACTGGAAATACTTGTCATACTTACTTTGGTACGAACCATTGACTTTTTCAGTGGTGTTGTTCCCTGATTTTTCTTCAGCTAATTCTCTTCCTTCTTCAAGTGCTCTTGCATGATGAGCAACTTTCTTCACCTTCTGTTCCTCAAAATCGTTAACTAGATCCATGAAATCAGTGATTGAGCTCCTGAAATATAGTATAGCATCACCAATCTTATTTGATTCGCGGAGGCTGATGGTAGCATCAACCTTGTAATTATGTTTGGCTGAGATCTTTGAGATTGCATTTTGAATATGACGAAGCCCTTTTATAAAACCAACACAGCTTTCCTTTAGCTTCAAGGAAGTTTTCTTATCGACTTTACCGCTAATACTAGCTTCCACCGCAAGAATAGCTTTGGTTGTTAGGGCATATTTGGTCTTGGCAATTCCAGAAATATCTACGATGGGCTTCCCAAATTTGTAGAGGTTCTCAAGGTACTTGACATAGCCTTTGCACATTGTGAACATTGTCTTAATTTTTGCGGTTTTTGGGGCAAACTTTTCTTTATGGTTTATGATCTCAGTGATTTTGGCAAATGGTAAGGTCTGTAGTTCGGATACGGTTTTTGGAAATAATGGTGACGGAGGTTCATAACTATAAACAGAAAGGAACAATGAGCTAAGGGCGAGAGAGAAGGCTAAAGATATCAACAAAGAGATCCTTGCCATGGTTGTATTGCTTATGGCAAGTAAATGTTAAAAAAAAAAAGACTAAAAGGCAGAGAAATATAAGAAGTGCTATTTGATTTGAGATCTTGGAAAGGTATATATACTTTGCTCTGAATTTGTATAAGCTAATTATAGGATACATAAATGGTTAGTCATGAGAAAGAAATAACAACAGGCAATGAGATATTTATGTGAGTCTGTTAACTTTTCTATTTTTTAAAAGTATTTAGTTAATGATAGAAAAAATAGGAGGAAAAATGTATCAGTTTAATCAAATCGTTACTTAAGTTAAAACAAAAAATAAACAAAAATTCTCTTCTTTTGTTGTTATGAAAGAAATAAAAAATGTTACCTAGGTTGTCCTGTTAGATTTTTATGTGCACTAGAGATTTTTCCGGGCTACACCCGGTTTTTCCCTATATTACTTTAGTTTGTTATAAAGTGTATTTGACTATATATTTTACACTTATACGGAATATGCTACATAATTTATTAGATAAATTTAAAATTTCTTGTATTGTTTTTTTTTTACTTTAAATTTAAAATAATTAAAATTTAGTTTTTTCAAATATCAAAATACATGTAAGTTGGTAAAAAATTGAATAAAACTAAATTAATTTTGTAGTTAAAGCTAAATTATTTTTGTTATCTCGTTTATTTTAATTTTATGAAAATGGTTAAATTAACATATAATTCCAACATTGTTTTAATAGTAAAATCAACTACTATATATCTTAAAATTTTAATATTGATTATTTATTATTTGGTGATAAGAAAATATATATGATTTAGGTCTTAAGTGTTGGAGAACAGTTGAAATCTAAAAATACTGTACATTAAAACAATCCTTAAATAGTGTCAAATACTTTTGTTTCCATGCAGCAAAAAATATATTAAATATATATAATAATATTCTCTAAGAAATATTTGTATATTTTTTCTAAGAAAGTACAAAGAATGTAGTTGATTTTTTTTTTAAAAAGATTGACAATTTATGTATTTGATTTGATATTCAATTATTTCTCTCTGTCATGCTCACTAATGGAATTTTTCGTCAGGAAAAAAGATTTGAAAAATTCTGAAAATTTCTCATTTGTTCTTTTCTTTCTGTATCCAGATCTCTTCTCCTTGAGCATGTACAACGCAATTTCTTGCAGTTTGAAATAACAATGATCCTCTTCGTACACCAGCACAAGATACAGATAATATTTGACATTGAATTTGTTGTTGATGTTCAGAGAATCTATCTCCATCGAGCTGCACCGTACTTCCTTCTTCACTTGTGTTTCCTTCATAAAATACCCTTTGTTCAACCCTCCATAAATAGCAAGAATTATATATGTGCACATAAGCAAAAGTTTTATCTTGATCCAACTTTATCAAACACTTTACTACACATTCAGCCATATCAATTTTACCGTTTTTCATACAAATAGAAAGAAAAGAGCTCCATATAATAGTGGCTTCTTCCACTCTTATGTTCTTTTATCATTGCTTTGGCTTCCTCTAATAGGTCTGATTCACCCAAACATATTAACCATGCAAGTGTAGTGTTTTATCGATGGCTCAGTAAATTGATCAAATATCTAGCTGTCACCCAACACATTAACCATCCGAACAAATTCAAATTTACAGTTATCAAATCTTTGATCACCATCCTAGCAAGTGACCATTGTTCCATTGTTCTACATGGTGCACACACATATAACCAGGTCACCAAAATTTAAATAATGATAGAATCATTACAACATATGTGTGCAATACTATGAAAATAAGAACATCTAGAAATTAACAAGAATAAATTTCTTACTTAAGCTTCACAAGTGTACATAATACATAATACCAAACAAAGTCACTAATGTCAATATCATGAAGGTTTTGGTTCTAACAAAATTGATGCAAAGACACTAATAAGTTATCAAAACCCATCTTATACAATAGAAAGCTTAAAAAAAACTAACCACACCATAAAGAGCATATCCATAGACAAATTATGCTAAGACTTTTTCTTTTAAGAAAAAAGATAAATAATAACTGATATTCAAACCAATAGTATAAAACCAATAACTGCTACAAAAGATATTTGCTCTAGAAAAAAACTGATACATAAAATAATGAAAACTATCCAAATAATTGAATTAGCTTTTCAAAGCTAAAAGAAAACACTTTATGTAAAAGCTTATCCACTGAAAAGTTATAAAAAATTGATCAATTTTAACTTGTGAGTTTCAGACAGTTGCATGAGGTGGCCTAAAATTGAAGTAATAAACCTGTAAGTTAAAAAGTAAAGAGAATACCTGTTGTTGAAATATGAGTCGTCGGTGACATCATACGCAAGCAAAATTCCCATGACACCCCGGTTATATGCTACAATAAGAAGAAACACATAGGTGAGTACTACAGGTCCCACCATAGTGAGGAAAGAGAAAAAATACATACATAGTAAGATGAATCGTGAAGCAAAATCCGAGATATATTAAATCAAAACTAAGAGAAACCAGTTGTGATAGTCCAGAATCGCTCTTGTCTAGTAGTATCCCATATTTTCAGCTTAACTCGTTTATAATCCAGCTCATTAGCCCGTATCTTGAGATTAATCTGTCAACCGAAAAAGAAAAAGAACTTGAGTGAATGTTAAGCACTACAAAGAGCACTTACGAAGAGTGTCATGTATCAAATAGATCATACTTGGTAGTTGTAGGGAAAGAAATCAACATGGTTCTTTTCGTAAGCTGCATGATTGAAGAGAAGCATGCTCGTCAATTACGCCTTTTTCATCACCTTGATCCAGTTCTGTTTAATCAAAAAACGAAAAGAGAAACATATTTTTAAAAATATATTATGATTTAAGAGAAGATAAGATATGATAGGAACATTATGAGATTATTTTATCACGGAGAAAAATATATAGAGACGAAACTGGACTGAGATGTGGCGCTGCAATAGATAGAAAGAACACGAAACAAAAATCTAAAGAGAGCGTTTTTTATAATTCGACTTTCGTTTTTACAAAAGAAAACCCTCTTTAATAGAAGTCAAATAATATGAATGTTTTTTATAGAAATTGAATCGATTATCGCACCGAGAAAGGTGGTTGGTTTTTGTACCAAAACTTTTTCGTGAAAGGGAGATAGATTAAAAAGGTTAACTGTATATCTAATGACATGGTTTAAATATTTTTGCCAAAGAAATGACATGTTATTAATTCAGTATTTGATTGGTTGATCAAATGTGCTGAGCTGAACACTCTAGATGTTGATTCTTTTAGTATTGTAAGATACATCAAGTGACATGAATGAAATAGAATACTCATTCTATCAATTTAAAAAAAAAAATCGCTATTTGACATGAATGAAATTAATTGTATTCCATTTTTTCATGTATTCCTATTATTCTACTTATATTAATTTCATCAATTCCATACTTACAGCCAAAATCGTTACTTACAATTTACAAATAATATTTGTTACCTAGAATTCCTTAATATTATTTTATATTCAAGGAATAATAGAGTAGGGAGCATAATTGATGTTGCAAAAACGGTGATAGTGTGAAACTAAGTGAGAACTAGCTAGACAAATCACTGAAACAATGGAGCATTACAAAAGCTCCAGTGGCGCATGTCTCTTGTCTACGTTTTCCTCTAAGGTCTATGAATTGGCTAGCCGGTGAAAGGATGTTCAGAAAGCTAATTACTGAACATGAAATTAGATAAAGAGTCCCTCAGAACGACCAGCTGAGATCCATTGGTTATTTACAGATTCCCTCTCAAGCACCTCTAGTCAACGCAACCAACAATAGTAGTAGCAAAGATAGATCAATCCCTCAGGATGCATTGTGAGAGACTCGCGGTCTGATAAGCTTACAACCTCAGACTCCAATCCTTTTATATTCAAGAATCTACACGTCTGCAGCGATTGCCACGAGGTTATTAAACTAACCACAAAACTCTATCAACACTAGAGTCTAGAGATAGTGTTCGTTCTATCACTTCAAATACGGTTCCTGCTCTTGTTCAGACACTGGTAGCAAAAGATTAAAAAATGTCGCAGAGCAGGTAAAAATATTGTATTAATGGGCAGCGAGAATCACTTAACCGCTGCAAACAATATTTGTATAAATCATAATGTTTGGTAACCAAGTAGTAGCATATCTCTAAGGCAAATCAATTGAACTAACAACAAATCATATGCAGCTACAGCCTTCACTTTCACGACTCAAGCTTCAAACATAAACATCTGATCTCTCACTTGATGAACCCTTCTGCTACTGTTACATCAAAATAAAAAAACAGAGTAATCAGTGTCAAAGCAACGATTTTGACTTCAGTTCAAGACAGAACAAACTCACTTTTGGACGAGACTGGTACTAAAACAACAGTCATGTCAGCATTATTCGGCGGAAGCTGAAGACGCAAAGGGAAAAGCTTCCCATTCAAAGGACTACGAGTACACACAATAACATCTTCCACATTGCTCTCTTCTTTCAACCTCTTAGTCAGCTCCTCAACACCATTACCTTTGAAAGTAAACGACTTCACCTCAACGGAATCATCTTCATCTTCACCTTCATCGTCCGCCACGTGGTAATATATCACTCTCCCTTCCGATTTAGGCGGCGATCCGACCGTAACTGAATCCGTTGACTAAAAAACAAAACACAAAAAAAATCATAAAGTCAACTCAGTTTGAAACTGTTGTCGGATCAAGAACTCACTTCTTGTCTGAGAAAACGGTTAGATCTGGAAGGAGATCCAGGTTCGAAATCTAGAGAATCCGAATGATGAAGCGGAGAGATAGGCTCCTCCTCCTGCTGCAGCTGCTGCTGACGGCGGTGTTGATCAGTGAGAATCTCGACAACGTCAACATGCCAAAGAACCCAATCTTGAGTCGCGGATCTATGAGGAATATCGTGAGTAACGGAGTTTCTCCACGGAGGCAAACCACCGTTACCACGAAGGAAGTGACCGTATCGTGTCTTGAGCTTGACCAAAGCGCCGTCTCTGATGGGTTCCCAAGCGAGAGAGGAGTCGAGACGGGTGGGATTGGTCTGGAGGACTTTTCTACCCGTGGCTCCGAGGAGAAACGGTTTGTTTGACGCCGTTAAGTATTTACCGTAAGCGCTTTTGAGGCGGATGAGGTTGGAGGAGCCTGGGACTGGCTCAACGGTCCATTTGGCTGCGCCTGCTGAGCCGTTACGTTCTTGAGTGACGGATTCTTCGTCTTCTTCGGCGATTAGGTACTTGTCGTGGTGGCTACGTAAACGGACGGCTTTGGCTTTCTGGAAAAGGTCCATTTGAGATTGAGAGAGAGAGAGGTTGAAGATGGTGTGTGAATGTGTCTGTTATGAATCTAGAGAAGGACCTTGTCTTTTTACAGAGGGTGTTTAATAGTACAGTTTAATTACTTACTCGATTTCAGATCTTTCCTTTTTCTACTTACTTATATAGTTTTTATTAAAGAAATTAGATCTACGCATTTAAGTATTCGGTTCGGGTTGGAACCATTCGGTTTCGGATGAGAATCATTTGGTTCTGATTATATCAAATAAATCATTTTTATATTCAATGGGTATTTACGAGATTTTGGTTTGGCTCTGGTTCATTTCTGGATATCCGTTTAATATATGAATCAAATATATATACAAAAATATTAGTTAATATGTTAATTTAAATGATCATTCTTTTGTCCAATCTTGGTTCTAGGGTAACAATATTATCGCTCTTTTTGTCCAATCTTAGTTCAACTGTGCTTAATGTTATTTTATCTTATATTAAATGGTAAACTTGTTTTTTTTTTGGATATCTGGGTATTCGTACGATTCCGGTTTCGATTCGGTTATTCAAATATAAAAATATAAGAACTATTCAGATATTTGAGAATTTTAATCTGATTTCGGTTTTGGGTATTTTAGGTTGGTTCCAGTTCGGTTTTCTGATTCTGGTTTTTTTTTGCCCAAGGCTAAAAGAAAATATGTCTTTGATCAAAAAAGAAGAAATTATGTCTTGTTTTTACTCTTTTTATTTTGTTAGTTACTTAATTTCGTTTTTAAAATTGTTACTTCATACGTTTAACAAATAGTTGTCTAAAAGTTTGTTCTTCATATTTCATTTGACATTTTAAAATATCCAATTGCTTAATGGTAACATTTTTTAATATATGGCATTAGTTATTAACTTATTATCTAATAAATGTTATAGTACGGTTTTCTGAGAAAATGTTATAACAGTCAGATAGCAAGAACTATAAAAGTAGTTTGACCCAAAAAAAACTATAAAAGTAGTATTTTATAATATACTATCCCAAACTAGTAAATTATTCGTTTTGTTTCAAAAAGATGAAATTAGTTTTTTCAAATTTTTACTCATTAAAAAAATATTAGATGTTGATTATTCAAGTATTATTTTCAAATTTACTATTTTCATAACATTTAACTGATAAAATTTTAATAAATACATTTATCTTTCTGAAGTTTACAATTTACCGATTAATAACATTTTGAAAATATAAAAAATAGAATTTTTGGAACAAACTTTTCTCAAAATGTAAGGGTTTTCACGAAAAGCGTAATATTTAAAGCATATACATTTTAATTTACTTGAAACAGAATTAAAGATATAAAGAGTTTTCAATTATGTTGATTTCAGTTTAGCAAAAAAAAAATATTATGTTGATATCATATTAGTTTTTTTAGTTGTTCTTACAAGCAATACAAAAACGGATAAAGTAAATCATACAACTATCATGTTTTTTTCGTAGACTTTCTGCTAGTATTAATTTGGCTAATCCAAATTGTTTTTGTTCTTATTTTATATTGATGAAAAACCTAAATATATTACATATTATTATATCTGTATTATCAGTGAAAACAATGATTAACTTTTTGAAACGATAGATTACTATGATTTTCGTGCGATCTAGATCTATGACCCTAATTTTTATTTTATTCAATTGTTTGCAGAAGTCAATATATTTATTTCTGAATTATTAGCAGGGGCAGATGGAATGGGGCACACTATTGTGGACTAATAAAAAAACATACAAATGATTCAACATTGCTCAAGCTAAATAGGTTTAATGTCGACTCTGGCCTTGGAACGACTAATCTGCCAGTTTTAATCATTGAAAGCATTAGCGATAAACCACATAGTACATAGCATGATTGTGTAAAATACTAGCATACATTCAATACAACACTTCAACCTTACACTTATTTTCGCACTTACATTACACGTCCATTGCTTTTAAACGTTGATCTCAAGTTCTTGAAATCGCTGATTAATTGAGCTCTAACCTCAAGCTCTCCTAGAAACTCAGCGACTTTATCGATCTCCGGTACCACATTCTTCACGGTATCATCAGACAAGAACTGGTCCGCCCATTTACAAAGAGAAGGAACTTTTGTTTCATCCAAAAGCTTTTCTCCTTTAAGCTTTTCTCTAGCCTTCAAGATACCCACAAAGCTGCCAAGGCAAATGTCCATAAACCCGATCGCTTCACCTCCGAAAAACGGTTTCCCTTTGCTTATAGAAACAAATGCTTCCTCGAGTTGCAATAGCCCTCCTTCCACTTCTTTCATGCCTTTTTCTTTTGCCTCTTCCGATTTGGTGATTGCGGCCGCTTTCAAAGCCGGAAACCACTGCATTAAGGGAGTCAAGTGAAAATAGTGTGACAAGTGTTTGTTCTGAAATCTCACACAAAATCTTAATGGTTTCTTCTTATTTCCAAGCTAGAATCTTCCTAGGTTTATATTGA